TGATATTCCGTACTTAAAACCCACGTTCAATGAACACATGTAGAATTGACGCGGCTCAAAAAGGTGAACTAAATATGACGGCAGTTTTGGATAACAGCATACCCGATACCAGAGAAGGTTGTTGGTTAAGACTTGTTTCCGAACGTTGCGCTGCATTCGGTCACGGAAACACTACTATAATAAGTAAGCACAGAAGCGATCAACTGGCGGGAACCATGTAAGACTAGATATATACACTCCTCACGATTCGGCATGGGGTACTTTCGTTGTGTGTTCAAACTAATGGCTTTGGCCGAGAGCAGAAGTTCGTATGCACGTTTACCTGTGGCATGGTTTAAGGGATGCGTTTTTGACAAATTAACGGGACATGCACGATTGCGTGCTAGTGCAGGCGACCGGCTCCTGCTGATTCATTCATACCTGCATGGCGTATACTACCTTCGTTTGGAGAATGACAGTTAGTTTTTACCGATCTTCCCCTCACAGCTCTGTAGCTACACAACAGCTTACCACAACCCGCCCATGTCACCTTCAGGCACGAATACTTGCGAAGAACCTTTGACGTAAACTTTATCTGCCAAACCCGAAATAATTACGAAAGGTTTCGGTAGGCTATCACATCCAACAATACATCAAACTTGATATCGCGACTAATCGAAAGCGTGCTGACATTATGACGTTACTCAGTGTCTAGAAAACGTTTTTATCTGCAACAGCTACAGCAGCAGCGATAGCGGCCTAAAAGTAGGGCAAGGCGAAGAACGGTGCACTCATTATATGGCTGTGCAAAGCATGACCACGCCTTTACCGCGACCGAGCTCCAGTTTTATGATAAACTATAACAGCTCACGCGTGTAACATCTATGCTCTGTCTCCCATACAGCATGGGAACATGACATATGGTGTCGAGACAGTGGAGGGCATTCTTCTGTGTTTGTACTTCATTTTTGGTGAGCGCTTTGATATGCTGCCGGTAGCAGCCACATTTGTTTTCGCTCGAGTGACATCGACCGGTCGAAGGGGCACTGGGTGGCACGGCCATTACGCCATGGTCGGACTTCGTGCTGCCGAAACGTGCAGCTCAGTGAAACGACATTAGGTGAACGTTTTTTCACGAAAAACAAAATCGTTTCAACACGCCTGGAATGTCCTGATTGCGTGCATTTGCACCGTACGATGCGTTATTCTGCATTACCAGTATCTACTGCAAAGTTTTGTGCTAAAATGTCGAAACTGTGACGCCTTTATGCGAAAGACCTCGCAAATGCAGTTGATCCGTCTCTCAGGACGCTGTGATATCTCCAGCTAAGCACTGAAAAGAGAGTTACGGCTTAAACGTGACTTGTGCGACCACAAATAGAATCAATCACATCAGTAGAACGTTCTGCAGTTTCAGAGTGCTTTATGGGGAACCTCGGCCGCGTATGCAATGTTCTCATGTGCTGATGCATCACGTTCACGTTCATCAGCGCTCAGCGTTCTCTGCATGTTCTGCTGATCAATAATTATCAAAAAAGAACGCGAGAGCGTCATGCAACATAAACTGAAAGATCGTCTCCATCGGCTGTTGCGGCATTGGCCTTGCCAGGTCTAAGACAGCACCTGGCCTTAATGGTCAATCGCCGCATTTGCCATGGCAGCGAACCCCGTACAATGCACGTGACTACACAACTGCTGGCTGGAGAGCACCGTTCCACACAAACACGTAAGCCTCCACGGCGTGAACTCGCTGGTCCACTGGAAAGAAATTGGCGTTTCCCGAGGTGCCAGCCAATCAAACCAGCGCAGCGCGGCTGCGAGCCGCCGCTCACCGAGCGACCAGCGCCTGAGGTGCCGAACCATCGTCAATTACCGCTCGCTGTTCGGCCCCGCGTGGAGCTGTGACATCTCTAGCGCCCGCCGTCCGCCCCCCCCCCCCCGCCCGGGCCGCGTTACGCTGAGCTGTCGCCAGCGGGCGTGTCGGTGGCGCGCCCAGCGAAGACTCGGCGGCCGCGTTGTGGCTGAGCTCTGGTGCCGGCGCAGGGGACGTCATCACACCGCCCCTCCGAGTGTGTCAGCTTTGGCTGAGTCATAGTGCCGGCGCAGGGGACGTCATCACACCGCCCCTCCGAATGTGTCGGCTTTGGCTGAGCTCTGGTGCCGGCGCAGGGGACGTCATCACACCGCCCCTCCGAGTGCGTCAGCTTTGGCTGAGCTCTGGTGCCGGCGCAGGGGACGTCATCACACCGCCCCTCCGAGTGTGTCGGCTTTGGCTGAGCTCTGGTGCCGGAACGGGGACGCCATCACACCGCCCCTCTGAGTGCGTCAGCTTTGGCTGAGCTCCGGTTCCGGAACGGGGACGCCATCACACCGCCCCTCTGAGTGTGTCACCTCCTCCTCCTGTCGCCTTTCCCGTCACTTGCTCGGCGTCTTGTTGGATCCACCACAAATATATTCTCCAGCAAGTAGTTTTATTTGTATCGTATGTACAATATTTTGAGTGGAAGAGACGGACAACAGGGTCCACAAATAAATACCTGAACACCGCACATGGCATTGCTCCTACTAAGCACTGCAGGTATGGATGCGTGAGTGTGCGCGTGTATGTGTGTGTGGGAGGATCACCTGCCAGTTGACAGGGTGCGTCGGACCCGGGTGACGACTGACGTCTGAGAGCGGGGGGGGGGGGGGATGAACCAAGATATAGGCGTCATGGCGGGTGGGGTGGGGTTCAGGTCCAGACGTGGACGTGGGCGTGGCTGGGACGACGCGACATCGGTCCCGACGAAGGCCCGGCGGCCGGCGCCGACCCGCCCCGGCCGGCAGCGACCCGCCGGCCAGCGACGGCAGCGGCCGGCCGTACACCTGCGCCGGCTGTTTTGAGTTTGTTAGGCGGCGCGGCAGCACTGCCCGCCGCCCGCTACAGAACAGCCAATGGGGTTCACGATAACAACACTAGACACACAGGAAAGGCCAGTGCCGGGCGCCCGGCCGTTCTGGCTCACATGCACCAACAACGATATCCGAAGAGTAAAAACCGCCTTGGAGGCTAGAATAGGGTTGTACTTTGTCCATACAATGTTGGCACTTGAACTAATAACGAAAACAAGCGGACGCCGCGTGTGCCACGCGACTAGCGCCACACCCAGAGAGAACAGAGGGTTCGACACGGTCAGAGGCGACGCCAGCCTGCCGCTCAGGGATATGTAGGTGAGTATTCAATCACAAATCTCTCCAGCGCAAATACAAAATCAGGTAGCGAAATAAATAGGCATGAGCGCGGCACGCAAACGCGTCGGTGTCGGCGGCGGTGGCGTCAGCAGCGGTGGCATCGGCGTCATCGGCGGCAGCGGCGGCGGCGGCGGCGGCGGCGGCGGCGGCGGCGGGACCGAGCGGCCGCGTCCATCCGTACGGACGCATCGGACCGGCCAATTACCGGACGGCCACAATGGCGCCATTTTTGTCCGTGCACGCGCGGCGCGTTGCGCGCCAGACGGATCACGTCTCCCTGAGAGGCGCCGCGCTCGGCGGCGACAAAAATGCTCACGAGCGCGGCCGGCCGGGCGCGGCGGCGGCCGCTGCTGGCAGCCGTAACCATAGAAACGTGACCATTTTTCGCCGCCGAATCCCGGCAAAAACGGCCAAAAACGGCGCGTCGAACTCCGGTGCGGCGCGGCCGCCGCTCTGACGGCAGCCGACGCCAACCCTTCCGGCGACCGCCGCGCGGTGGAATGGCTTCGCGTGGTGTGACATGATGATATGCCATGCAAATCTGGCAACGGCTTTGATGGTCCAAATTACTATACTTAGCCGATGTGTGATCGACGTGGCAGGACTGGCGCGGGTTCGTGCCTGTCTACCGACGCCGGGACCGTCAACTTGAAGCGCCGGGGTAAGAAGCTGGTCTGTAATTATGGCCCTCACAAAAACGCCGTACGGGCGAAAAAGAATCAATAGAGAAATTTTGTCAGTCATGTATAGGTTTTGTTAAACAGGTAGACTGTCGATCAAGAAGCCAGCTGAGCGACAGGCAGTGGGCTTTCGTGACAGCGACTGCTCGTAATTACGAGTCATTATCCGGCGTAAAAAGCCCACGTAAAAATCGCCGAGAAGGGTGAAGGAAAACGACAATAATTGGTGATCAGAAGCGACGCCTCGGTTCTTTTTTCGTGCGGCACGGTGCGGCGTCCCACGCGGCCGGGCAGCCGTCACGGTCGACCTCCGGCCCGGGGTCACGTCTCGCGCGGCGCGGCGCTGACGGCCGGACCGCCGACCCGCTTCGCTTCACGCCAACAGGGAATCCATGGCCGCCGCGGCCGCGCCGCCTCCGCACTTGGTCGTGAGTAAGTATTATTTGAACAATGTTGCACGATGACAATGCAACCGGTTGCAACAAAGGGGCGTCCACGACTGAGTCCGGCCTATCGATCGTGGCCTTTCATTAATCTTGACAGCTTCGAGCCGCCTTTGAGATGTCAATAGAGTGACGCCGACAGCGTGCATGTCATACGATTAGTACAAATAGCTTTCAAACGTCACTCGGTGCGCCGTCTGACAGTTTTTAATGACTTATCCTTTGATATCGGCCAGCCAGGGTACACCTTTTGCCGGGCAGCGCGCCAGCCGACCGTCCGCCGCTGTCACGACGGCAGACGGCCGACGGCAAACGGTGTACGGGATCATGCCGGTCGCCGGGACATCGCCGCAAATCGGCATAAATTAGCACCGGAAAAAGTCGCGCGGCGGTCGGGGCGCAGCTGCCGTGCGCCAATCGCGGCGCACTCGTGACGTGACGACAAAACTGGCGCGTCACGAGCGCGGCGGCCCGCCGTCGGGCGACTGACGGCCGCAGTTTTGGCGTTCGCGATAATTGCCGGCACCGCGACGCCGGGGAGGATGTGCTGTCATTCAGGCGGGCACGAACCTACGTGCCGGGTGCGCGTCCGGCAGAGCGTCACGCACCGCGCCACCACCACCACCGCCGCCGCCGCCGCCGCCGCCCACGAACACGCGCGCCGCGCTTGCACACACACACACACACACACTCTCCTTCCCTCTCTCTCTCTCTCTCTCTTTCTCTCTCACACACACATAAATACAAACCCAAAACAGCTGATGACACGGCGGAGCGGAGAGACAGTAGAGCAGGGCGGAGAGGCGAGACGCGGGTCAACGCAAGTAGGTACGGCGTATCTAAAACACGAGCGCACGCGGCGGTCCACCGGGTGGAGAAGAGGAGAGCGCTACACCACAGACGACCACTCTACTCTACGACATACTTGGATGAGAGCTGCTTCGCGAGTTCGGTGTACTTGAGAAATTTCGAGTGGGACGTCTCGTCTACACTGGAGTTGCTCGATGAGGGCGGCGAGCGCGGGTGCGCCTTACCGCTAGAGCTCGCCTTGCCGGTGCCCGCCTCCGGCACCATCCCGTCCTTGACAAAGTGCATCTTGGACAGGTGGTGCCGGTACGCGCCTTTTGATATGAACGGAGTATCACAGAAAGCACACTTCATAATGGAGTCGGTCATAACCGCGTCGTTGCAGGCCCAAGAGAAGGCCAAGATGGCGCCGGGGGCGCCCTGCGGCGGGCCGGCCGCGCCGCCGGCGCTGGCGCGCGGCGGCGGCGTGTCCGTCTTGTCGCAGAGCTTCTGGAGCGCGGCCAGCGGGTTGGCCGAGCCGGCGCCGGGCCGACGCGGCTCGGCCGGTTCCCCCGCCGGCGTCGAGCGGTCGCTGTCGGCGGCGGAGCGCGGCGTCAGCGCCCGCTCGCTGCCGGCCGCCGGGCTCGCCGAGCCGTCGCTCTTCTTGGCCTCGTCGCCGGCCGGCGTGCCGGCGCCGCTGCGTCCGCCCTCTTTGGTTCCGTTCTCGTCGCAGCGCAGCGGCGGCAGCGGCAGCGGCAGGGGCAGCGGCAACGGCAGCGCGGCGGCGGGCCGCTCGGACTCGGCGTCGCTCTCGTAGCGCGCCTCGGACGCGCCGCTCGACTCGCTGCCGGAGCGCGGCCGCGGCGCCGGCCCGCCGCCGTCCAGCAGCGGCCGAGAGTAGTCCAGACTCTCGTCGATGCCCAGCCGCTTGAGGATGCTGGCGCCCTGGAAAGCGGCCGCCGGTGCGCTGGCGCGCTGCCGCGGGTTCAGGCTCTTCTCGATGAGGCGCTCCAGCGCGTTGATGGCCGACGGCGAGGAGCTGGCATCGGCGGCCGGTTCTCGCGCCACCGCCGCCGCGGCTGCTGCCGCTGCCGCCGCCGCCGCCGCCGTCGACTCGTCCTCCTCCTCACCGGGCGTCTTGCGGTCGCTGGCCGAGTTGGACGTCTCGCTCGGGCTCTTGGAGGCGGCCGTCTTGCCCGGGCACGTCCTGATATGCTCGACGAACAGCGGCGTGTCGATGCGCGCTGCGCACTTCTCGCATGTGATCTTGCCTGCGCCCTCCTTTACGGCGCGTTCCGCCTTGAGTTCACCCTGCGCCCGCTCCAACTCAAGCAGCTTCCGCACCGGCAGCGACTTCTTGCGCTTCTCTCGCGTCTGCCGCCGCCGGCCGCCTGACTCGCTGATCGAGCGCATGATATGTTCCTTGTAGTGCGAGTACTTGACCATGTGGTTGCTGAGCTCCTTCAGACTGGAGAATGCCTGGTCGCAGACCTTACACGTGAGAACGGCATTCACGTGGCTCTGTGACGCCGTCTTGGTGTCGGGCGACTTCCACGAGATGATCTGCTCCTGCGAAATGATGTTGGTGTAGTGTTGCGTCTTCTGCATGTGCTGCGTCATTTCGTCCAGCGACTTGAAGCTCTGGCCGCACCACATGCATTTGAGGATCTGGCGCGTCTGCTCGGCCCCCTTGCCCAGCCACACGTCCTGGCCGCGCACCAGCTTCCTCGGCAGCGGCATCGTCTCCTTCAGCGAGCTGATGGCCTCCGACGTGGACGACGACGTGGACGGCGAGGGCGGGATGGCCGGCGGCGTCGGCATGGCCGTGTGGCGCGCCTCGCGCATGTGCGCCGTCAGCTCAGCCAGCGTGTTGAACGAGATCTTGCACCAGACGCACTTGAGCACGTCCCGGGCCTGCTCCACCCCGCGGCTCATCCACTGGTTCTGCCAGACGTTCGGCCGCTGACCGAGAGTGCGGAACAGGTCGCTCGGCTCGCCCGACAGTTTGGTCAGCTCCTGCATGCGCTCGAGCGCGCGCGAGGCCTCGCTCGGCGTCGGCGACTTGGTGTAGGGCGGCAGCTTCTGCGAGCTGGGCGGCTCCTCCTGCTTGCCGTTCCAGCCGTCCAGCTTGGGCAGGCCGCCGCCGGCCGCAAACTGGAACGGGAAGCGCTTGTCCCACGGCGAGAGAAAGGTGGGCGGCGGCTTGGCGTCGAGCCGCGGCTGCTTGCGCGCCATCAGCTGGTCGATGTTGTGGCCGGGCCGGCGGCGCGGCACGCTCAGGTCGAGCGGCGAGTCGCCACCGAGCGCCGGCCGCGCCGCCTCCTCCGAGCTGGCGCTGGCCGGCCGGCGCACGCTGAAGTCGAGCACGTCCGGCGGCGAGCAGGCTGGATCGGGCGGGCTGCCGTAGCCGGAGCGCATCGCCAGCTCGGCGGACTGCGCCGAGCTCGGCCGCGAGCCGACGCCGTCCCTGCGGCAGGGCCGGACCAGCGTCAGTGGGCGGCGGCGAGCTCGGCCAGAGCTCGGGCGACCGCCAGCGGGTGGCGCCGCTGTCACAGGTGGAGAGCGAGCCAACCGCGCCAACAGCCGACATTATCTGGTTGTCAATGCACCAAAATTTGAGTAAGATAAAAACGGAATTTCTACAGCTTAGGCTGCGTAATTATTCGATAAAACCCACTTAGAAAGCGCTCGCTCACTCTGAAGTAAGCGTCACTGGGTCTTCACGAGTTATGAGCACTCAGTTATTGCTGCTGTATGGCGTCTCGTGTCCCTTACACCAGCTGGGAGGGCGGTGCCGCAGATAATCGAACCCTGTATCTCTGATTTCCCAGACACGCAGCTTTACTCCGAAATCCACCAGTGTAAAACTAGCAATGACATGCTAGAAAAACCCCGGAAGTCTGTTATCGATAGGCCATTATGACTTCGTTTTTGATAGACCATTATGAGTTCAAAGTTCTAATACTGAGTTAGCGACCTTGTATTTATTATTAATATATTTACTATTAAATTATTAATTTCACAATACTCATATTACTACAATAACATCAACATCAGCACATGATCCCCAGCTCTGTCACTTGTATTTCTGTCTAAGTACCGCAATGGAGGATGCACATAAAATCGGGTGCCATAATGAACGGATCTGCAACATCATTCAGCAGTCCCATACGCCAAACAACCGGGCAGGATTCATCACAAAGACAGCAGAAAAAGAGGAATGTCTAGACCGATAGCCGCCGAGACGCACCAGGAGGTAGAGGTGGCGGCGCCCAGCAGCATCTTGTCGGAGCAGTCGCTCTCGTCGTCGCTGGCCATGGCCGCATCACCGTCGTCGGTCGGGCCGGCGTCGGTGGCGGCGGCGGCGTCGCGGGTGGCGGCGCCGGCAGCGGCCGCAGCCAGCAGTGCCTGCTCCTCCTCCCCTGCGGAGAGACACGGCACGTCACAGCCTGCTCCTCGTCCTCTGCCGCGCGGCACGGCACGGCACGGCACGGCACGGCACGGCACGACACGGCAGCGCCGCTGCACGCCGTGGACACCGCGGCATCACAGGGCGAAGGTAGGCGTCGAGCGCACAAGTCTCATCTGGCGTGGCGTTCGAGCGATATTTTGGGCGTTCACACCACAGGCATTTCCGCGAGGCTCTCAGTGTGGGAACTCAACGCCTAGAACGTCGAAAAGTTCTGCTTGGGACCGGCGCCACATCGCAGGTCCAGCTGCCGCCAATCGACCGGTCCTTACCGATGTCGGTATGTCAGCGGTGTGGCGGATATGGACTGCACACACGACGTTCGTCCGGGATCAAATCGATCCTGACGCTGCAGGATGCGCCATCGCGACAGCCGACACACCACAATCATGGCTCCGGCAAGCCCAGCCCCGCCGACCCCAGCTAGCAGACCACGTGACCCGGGGCGGGCCACGTGACCCGGGAGAGGGGAGAGGGCGTCTCTGCCGCCGGTCGGTGCGCTGAGGCCGGCCGACTCCGCGCCCTCCGCGTCATCGAACCCGAAACAAAGCGGCGTAAATCAGGAGTGATTAGTCACGTTTACCGGCGTGATTTACAGCTGCACGGTGTGATTACTGCGCCGCCGGGGCCGAGCATTGTCTGGCCGCGCTGGCCGCGCCGCGAACGTGCCCACCGCGCCACACTCGAATTGTTTATGCTGGCACCGACAGACGCGCGCGTCACGCCGACCACCGCAGGTCACCGCGTGCGACGCGGCGCGCAGGTCGAGGCGCCAACAGCTCCCCACCGACGCACCCAGACCCGCGCCGAGGAAACGGCGCACGTCGGCAAAAACGGCGCGGCTATTACCGCGCCGCGGTTATTTACTTTTTCGGCCTCAATTTGGCGGCGCCGCCGCGGTCTGGATGCGTTTCAATTTGTCGCCGGACGTTTAGTAGAAGTAAAGAGTTGGAGGGGGGCACATCGAACGAGACAGCTCTAGTCCGGTCATCAATCCGGGCGCTAACGACGCCGGACAGTCGGCTTGGTCCGGCTGCGCCACCGCCGCGCCGGCCGCCGGGCGTCGCCGGACGCGACGCGCGATTGATCGACTGTCCCGGCCAGACATTGCCATCAGCAGGGGACGGCCGGGCAGCGGCCGGCGGCGACGCCAGAGACGCCGCCGCCGCCCCACCGGAACGAAGCACCGACGCTGGCGGGGAGGGGAGGCGCCGCGTCCGCGTCGCCGCCGGGCGCCGGCGGCCGTTCGCCAACACCCTCGCGGCCGGGAAATGATCCAGCTAACGCCTGCTGCTACCGCGGCGGCGACACCGCACCTCAAACACCAACTCGACAGACGTGTCCCCCACCACGCACAGGAATACGCACTCCTTCCACCCCACATCCTGGATAGAAGCCGCAGATCGATCCGGCCGCGCGGCGCGACAGACAGCACCGCCATCCCGCCGCGCGGCGCGACGGACTTCGTGACGGCGCTCGCCGGGCCGCCGCCGCCCGAGCGTCTGCGGTCCAGGCGACTCCTAATTCCATTAGACACATTATGAGCGGTAATGCGGGACGCGGAGACGCGCCTCGCCCGGTATGAATATTCAGGCCCGTCGGCGGCGACAGAGGCGCGCGAAAGCGTGTTGACGGCCGCGTCTCATACCGGCCGAATAATCTCATTAGGGGTGTGCTGGCCGCCTCCGAACCCATGAAGGGTGAAATACGGCATCGGGCGGCACGGGCGGCAGACGCCGGCGGCGCTGCCGTGCGTGGGGAGACCCGACTGCGGATGGAGGGTGACCTGCCGTTGCGGCGGTATACCCCGAGGCGAGCCGAGCCCGCCGAC